AAACACAATGTATTGTAACTTTTATAAAATGAATAATTAGCATAATTTGAAGATGGCCGTTGTTAACTATATTCTTACATTAAAATTCATTCCTAACTTTATTGGTTGGATTTGTTCCAACCAATAAAATTACACACGTGTTTTTTAAACGTGCGAAAAAATATTTTAACGTACAGGGTGGGCCAAAAGTCAGTTAACCAAAGCGAAGTAGTGTAAATTGCTTTCTTATTAAAACACTTCATTACTTTACAAAAGTGTTCAGTACACGAATTATAAGGCCTTAGAAATATTTTGGTAGTTTGAGACGTTAACTGACTTTTGAGCCGGCCTTAGCTTTCTACGTTTCGAAACACAGGTTACGATGCATACGAATGTATCTTCAACACGCGATACAAAACATGGTTAACTGACTTTTGTCATAAAATATGTGCCAGATGAGATTTATTTTGTTTCGGTTGTAGGCCCACATTTCGTAATAATAGTAATAATAACAAAAGGTTATAATAATTGAAGATCTTGGGGGACAAGAATATCATAATTCTTTTACTTTTCTTTAGTTTCTTTCTTGTATATTGTTGAATTTCTATATAACTTCCAGACTTATGACCCATAAATTCTCATAGACTGGCCTAATATCATTAATCACTTGTTTATCTTGCCCTAAAATACAGAGTAAATTAGAGTGATTTTTCCAGAAATTTGAAAAGAACGAGTTGTCCTTACTTAAAAGATATTCATTCCTTAATCGATTAAAATTGAATTTAAAAAAAAATATATCAAATAATATATTTATATCTCCCGAAATTTCTACAAAATTTGATAAATATTCTAGAATATTTTTGAAATTTACACGAAAATTTATTGTAGAATTGATTTTTATTGAAATTTACATTAAAATATGTGTAAATTTCAAGAAGAAATTCTAGAATAAAATCAATTTCCGGAATTAGAAAATAATCGTTTAAAATCTTACACGTATAGGAGGAAAAAAAAGGGCAAAAATGTCATATAAATTAATATTTTAATTGCAAATTTACTTAGAACAATCAAGAAGGTTTTGCAGTGTATGACGTAAGAGTACATAACAGAAAAACTGATTCATCAACATTTTCCTTCTGTACATTCTCGTATAACGAAAAGGCGTGGATAGTTTGTTTATGTTCAAATTACAAGTTCAAGGTAAACACTTTTTCACGGCCAATAATTCAAGGTGAGGGAAGAAATTAAATTCTCTTTAAACACTTTCTAATTAACAGAAACCGAAGCCAAATGCGTCATCGAAATTCTTGTTAGTGGAAGTAACGATTCGATAAAAACAAAATAATAAAAAGTATAAATTAATAAAAATTTGCATTTATTCAAGAATTCGAATCCCGTATCCTCGTGTTTTTATAAGTAAAATCTTTATTCTACAATAATAAAATACGTATTCGGGTTATAGAATCATAACAACTGAAGAATTCTCTTCCCTTCTTTTAAAACTTATCAGTTGTAAAGATAATTTTATAATAAAACTTGATTGTTTTATAAATCTAGATACTCATTATCAGCTCTAGAATTGTTATTTTATTTATTTGAAGTTATTAAAGTTTATATTTCGAAACATACAAAGGCTAATTATCAAAGTTAGCGTGTTTCGAATATTTAATTGTAAATTGTAAGTGTAGTAGTAGTAGTAGTAGTAGTACTTGAGATGATGTTTACAATTAAATTTATATACTATAAAATGTTTTGAATCGATAAAAATTGTTTAATTATCAATAAAATACATTACTTATTATTCAGGTTATTTGTGTTTAAACTACGATACACCCCCATACAATCTTGTACAAGTAACATAATTATTTCGGTCACGAAACGTTGTTATTTTAGAATATATATATATATATATATATATATTTTTATTATTATTATTTCCTACAGCTGAAGGTTTTTTTTTTCTAGAATTTTATAGCATAACTTTTTCTAGATTAAACAATTAAGAAATAGAACAATTACTGCAGGTGTTCATCGCTTAAAAAAGGCCACGTGTCTGAGAAATGTACAACTTAAATTTCATTGTTTTGAACGAGCCACGTGTTTTAAAAAAATGTCAATTTCTTTAAAATTCTCTAGAATTTCTCTCTAGAATCGTTCAGCTAATGGATTAATTCATTTTATTCTTTTAAATTTATATTTTTATAAATAAAAATTGGTCTAATTTTTAAAGAAACAAGCTTAAAATTTATTGAATTTTCGATGAGTTTTAAAATATTCAATTCTTGTAAAATAGGTTCGAAGATGTGTAATTTACGGAGCAGAATTGCTGCTATAACTTCAACCCTGTTATCATTTATTAAAAGGTCAAAGTTTAATCGAGCATAACCGTTAAAAAAACGATTGATATTGTCCCGTTTTTCCTTTTATATGCTTGAAAATTCATCGGTGTGTTAGTGATTTGCATGGACGATTTTCAAGACACGCTACTTCATGAATAAACCGGATCGCAATTGCTGATTGATTAAGGCCTTTTACATCTATAGAAACAACGTGACTACGGGGCATGTACGAAATTATATATCAAAAACTCGCTTGGTAGAGCAGTTTTTAAAAAGAAATTTCATAGAAAAATGATTTTAAACTAATTCATAAGGCTACTAACCCGAAGTTTAATATCTAATCATGCAAGTAAATTAAAAAAAAAAAATAATAATAATATTTTTAAAGGACAGACAAGCGTGACGAACCACACTTTGTTGTTATCGAACTCGAAAATTCGGTCAAAAAGTCGATTAATTATTACGAAATATTAAAATTTGATTGAATTTAAAGATATTTTAAAAGGGTTCTTTCAATAATAAAATAAAATAATTTCTTAAGTCACTTAAAAGAAAAATGAAAGTTATGTCTCTGTAAAGTCGTAAAGTTTCAAGGTCAAACTTTCACTTTTGTCTTCAATTTCTGCGTAATTTTGCGTGCCCGTAAACCGTGTCTGTCCGTCACTCCCTAAATTTCGAAAATTATTTATTACAACAGCTTATCGAATTATTTTTTAATGATAAAGTATTCCAGAAAAGCTATATCATTTTCCTGCCGCCATTTTGAAATAATGAGCGCTATAGCTACGTGACGCGTCGCGACATCGCGTCGTTTCTCTTATGAATTGCGTAAAGATATGACAAACTATTTTTAATGCAATCGAATTTCTACAGAAAATGTTTTTCTTTTTTTAAACAAAGAAAAGGTAAACATTCTTGCATAAAAATTTTACAAAAACTATTTTATTTTTTTTTTTTTTTAGCAAAAATAACACTCGACAAGCGACGACGCGCCGTCGCTCGCGCTACTTGAGAACGTTAGTTAAAACCTTATTTGCACATTAACCTCATAAAATTTCTTTGTAATAATAATAATAATAATAAAATTAATAAATTAGGTTACATCTAAATCCTTAAAAGATTAAAAATAAACTGTTGAACAGTGATAATATTACCAAAAATAACATTTTATTTACAAATAACAACGATTCTGATCGACGTTTTCTAGGTTAAAATTGATAAAATAAATAAATTTCAAAGCATAATTTGGGTCAATAATGATCATAAATTTAAAAAAATGATCCAATTAGAAGCTTGAAAACATTTTTTAAATAATAAAAAAGGCTTTAATTACCTTTTCTATGGCATTCATTAAGCTACCTTCTAAAACAAGAAATTGTCTCACTAATATGGATTGTAGGTTATTAATTTTGGATTACTTAATTGTAATTAATTTATGTAAAAATAAATATAATTTAAGTTTTATTGTTTTTAATGTAACTTTTCGATAAATTGCGTAAAACTACCTTTAACGCGTCGCGTCGCGTCTGGCCCGCGACGCGACTAGCATCTTTACACCATTAATGTGATAGTTAGCATATTTATACATATNAATTTTTTTTTTTTTTTTTTTAGCAAAAATAACACTCGACAAGCGACGACGCGCCGTCGCTCGCGCTACTTGAGAACGTTAGTTAAAACCTTATTTGCACATTAACCTCATAAAATTTCTTTGTAATAATAATAATAATAATAAAATTAATAAATTAGGTTACATCTAAATCCTTAAAAGATTAAAAATAAACTGTTGAACAGTGATATTATTACCAAAAATAACATTTTATTTACAAATAACAACGATTCTGATCGACGTTTTCTAGGTTAAAATTGATAAAATAAATAAATTTCAAAGCATAATTTGGGTCAATAATGATCATAAATTTAAAAAAATGATCCAATTAGAAGCTTGAAAACATTTTTTAAATAATAAAAAAGGCTTTAATTACCTTTTCTATGGCATTCATTAAGCTACCTTCTAAAACAAGAAATTGTCTCACTAATATGGATTGTAGGTTATTAATTTTGGATTACTTAATTGTAATTAATTTATGTAAAAATAAATATAATTTAAGTTTTATTGTTTTTAATGTAACTTTTCGATAAATTGCGTAAAACTACCTTTAACGCGTCGCGTCGCGTCTGGCCCGCGACGCGACTAGCATCTTTACACCATTAATGTGATAGTTAGCATATTTATACATATTTAATATTTGTAAATATTTATAAAATACAGTTTTTTACTTTCAAAAATGAAAAAAGAGGTTATAAAAGATTAGAATTTTTGGTTGTAATTATGAAAAATGCGCGGCGCAATCCGAAGCGACGCGACGCGCGCGCGGATGTTGAAAAACGCCAGATGAAATCTTATGATTAAACTATATTCAGCATGAAAATAATTGATTTTATTGTTTTAAAATGTCTAGAATTGTCTTTAAAATGTTAAAGACAATCAATAATTTCCAATTTTTTATTATTTTATTGTGAATGAAGTGAAAGATGGAGTAAACACGATGGAAGATGAAGCGGATATGGCCTTGTTTACTCCATTTCTTACAATTAAAATAGGAAAAATTCAGTTGAAAATATTGAAAAAAAATATTAGATTTATTATAAATTTTCAATTTTATTAAAATATAAAACTAATTTTCGATACAGAAATAAAATTATTTCATTACTTTCAACACATATGTTAACAAATACAGAATAAAGGTAAATAAGCCTGATTGATATTAATTCAGGCTCAAGATTTTGATAATGGAATAATGCCAGGCTATTTAAATAGTAGTCTGGGAAAAAGGCACTTATGTACAGCTTGTTTTATTTATGTACACTCCCTCATTACGCGTCACAGAAAGCCCGTCACTGTTTACTGTCGTACACTTTAACGCTTTGCATCTGTACCTGGCTCTGCACCTGAACTGTAAAATTAAAGTATAATAATCAAAATTATCAAAATAAACAGGAATTTCAGAAATTAATTACCTTCTGAAGGTGGATCTTTAGTTAAATCGTAACTTGTGTTAGGCCAGTGAACCTCGACTGCGAAAGAATAGATCCAAACTCCCAAAATTGCGCCAATGTGAGGTCCTATGACGGGTATCCAGAACCAATTGTAATCTCTCACCCTGTAAATTATAAAAATTGTGTTTTTTTAGCGAGAAAATTTGAATTGTTTGAATGCTAGATTGCCTGGTGACCAAGCAGAATTGATAAGTTCTTCACGCCTGTTTAGCAATAACATTATTCGAATGTTGAACAGCTCATTCAATATAATCAGCAGCCAATGAACTTGTTTGAACTTTTAAGAAGCGAGTTATCGAAATGGGACAAGAAAAAAATATAAGTCCTGAGGGTAAGAAACACCTAAAGCTGACCAAGTATGCAACGTGACTTTTTGGCATCCTATTGTGTGGAAACATGCTGTCATGAGACCCATTTCGACATCTTCGTCATGCTACAGCAATTTAAGTCGAATTTTCCTTTATTGGATGATTTTTTAATAGTTTTTTTTATGCGTAGATGATTGAGATGTGGCATACTTTTGATCTCCTAACTAGAATTATTCTTCGTAGATTCTTAGTAATACATATTTGTACACAGGAGCTGCTCCGTCCTCACCCCTTATTTAAGGGGTGAGGACGGAGCAGCTGCTCCCCCTTTCTGGGGGTTTTTCCCTAGTAAAACCGAGTTCCTCAAGTAGTAAAACACTTTGTAAGGAGTATTGTTTCTTTTCTGTGTCCCCCGTAAAGATTCCATTAATACTGAACATGAAATCTATGCAAATGTTTAATGTTACTATTAAAATTAGAACATTTATGCTACTAATTATGGGTAATTTAAATATCTGCAGATTATGCTTTCATGTTACTTGGATTTGTGTTCTTGTTTTTGGCATAGCAACAGGTTTATGCTCAGTGTGAACGTAGTTTAGAGTTTAATTTGTATATATTAATTTAAAATTTGAAGAAGACAGAATGATATTTTGAAGTGTTATAAATTATATTCCAGTTTAACATGCACCCAAATAATTTCTTTAATCATAGAAATTAACGTATGGTGATGACTTACGAAAACACTTCTGTTCCCCATCCAGCCATGGCAGTAAATATTCTAGGGCCAAGATCTCTTGCAGGATTTAGAGGGGCACCACAGTTGGAACCAAAACCCATCATAATGCCACATAAAGTGAGACCAATCATCAATGGAGCCATTCCTTTTGGGACACTCATGTTCCTTTCATCGATTGTAGAGCATACAGCAGCGAGCAGTAGCCCTGTACTCACGATCTGTACAAGAAATATACGTAAATTAGCGAACACAATTAAAGTAAAAGATGCTCATCAAAATGTACAAGTTACCTGATCCATAACGCATGTAAAAGTACTAGCGTACTCTTGCGGAAAACATGAAAAAATATTTGCAGTGGCATTGCTGTTCGGTGGCACACTTCTTATCCCCTTGTCGAATGCTTCGATGCCATCTTAACGAGGATAAAAATTTAAATAAATTAATGTTATACACGAATAAATTGTAATTAACTTGTAAATTTAGATGGTAACATATGAGTGACTTCTAATTACAAGTCACACACGAAGAAAAAGGTTACGAAAAATAAAAAAAAAAGGAACATAACTTCAGGTCGTTCCTCCCCCTGAGCTTGTAACTCAATTAGTTGTTAAGTGAAATTTTACAAAATGGCGTAACAACGTGTAACATCGCGTATCAACTTCATACAACGCGGTACTTTTGTACTTCACGTTTTCAATTTTTACAAATCTGACGTATTGAGGTTACGTTGCAACTGTCATACATAAGTAATAACGGTGATAATTAAGGTATTAAGATAAAGAGTTTAAACATCACCTCACCTCTATAGACGAGAAATAATATTGCGGCTGATAAGAATGCTCCTAAATACTGAGATAACATGTAAGGTATCACTTTCTTCCATGGGAATTTTCCTATAGTGGCGAATGCTACAGTAACTGCTGGATTTACGTGAGCACCTGTAAAATTACAACAAAAGAACCATTAATAATACACAGGTCATCATTTAACAAGAGCAACACCCGAAATTAAAATCACGCGTTCACCCAAATAAACTAAGATCCAGATAGAGAAAACGTGTGAAGTCAAGGATTCGAACCCAATCCAATTTAAATTCAAACTCCTGTAAGTTTAAATACAGATGACACAAAGACGTGAGTTCCATCCCACCCGTATCAAACTACACTTGTTCCTCCTCTGGGGGTGGATATTTTGCTTCGAGCGTTAGTTGTTAATATTAATATTAACCATTCATTACACAAACGTGTGGGAGGTTTATCTAAACTTTCTTCCATGTGACAATTTTTTTTTCTATTGGATAATAGAAGAATGTCGTTTACTAAAAACACGCTAATTAAATTAATATTTATCCAAAAATACTTAAATAAAAGTATTAAAAATTAATTTCTACACAGCGGCAAGTGCAAAGGTATCATCTGGATTGACAGGTTGCTGAAGAACAGTAATATTTATTATTATTATTATTATATTATTTTCGCATTCATTCATCCATCAAGATCTTTTTTGGGTGTGAATTCGTTAAGTTTGATTAATATTTAATGTTATTGTATGGTTCGAGTAACTTAAAGGGCGTTTACCTGAACTGCCCATAAGTTGGAAATTGTTTTTTTCATTAAAGAATTTCTGAAATTCAACGTACCGAATTGGGAATTTAGCACAGGACGGCGTATACAAAATGGTAATATTATTATTTATTTATTTATTTATTCGGGATATTATATTATAAGAATTTACGGCACACGAACCAATGAGAAATCATTTAATAAATTACTCTTCTAGACTTTGTTTTCGAGTTAATTGAGACAAAAGTTCATTTTAGTGTTCATAGGAAACACTTAAATTCACTGTGATAAAATGAGTTTTGTTATTTTTAAATTAAAATACAACGCTGCTTATAGGTAATATGATATTTTGGCGTTGTTTTCTAGAGAATTTAATATTATTTTTGATTTATTTTCCTTAGACTTTCATAATTTTTTTTTAAAAAAATAAACAACTAGAGACAAAGACCCGCAAAGGAGATGTCGTTTTTTGTTTAGGCCTATATGAATTTACGAACGTGTTTCTAAGAAATTCGACAGTACAAATTGCTTTTTACATAAAACACAAGATTACTTTGTTACCTAATCAGTAAAAATACAATAAATTAACCACAATTATAAGTCACTGACAGATGGGATATGAGGTAAATCTATCAATTAAAAAAATTGATTTTTTTACAAAATATATTATATATTAAAAAATTAATGATATCTATTAATACTTTAGACTATTTTTATACGCAACTTAGCAATTTTATATCTTATAATACCTTAGGCAAAGACTTGTCTAAATTGAAGCCAAATAGGTCTATTTTGCATTTTTTACATGTAGGAAGTCAATCTACATAGATGTTTCTCAGAAATTCAACAGGAAACTATACCTTTTATATAATACACTACAACATTTCGGCACCGGAATAGCCAAAAATAAAAAAATCGACCACAACGAGAAACGATTGCGATACACTAAACCAAATGGAGCAATTTTTCTCGCAATTAAATACGGCTAATTTTATAAAAATGCCTTCTTCGTAGATACACTTCCGCTACGAATGCTAAGAACTCTTGTATTAATGAACCCTCGACCCCCTTTTTTTTGAAATGACCACTTTTTGTAACATAGTATATACCCTGTTATAATGTATATTATAATAAAGGTATATAACGAATTAAACCGTTCCTAGAAGCGAAAAAATAATAAAAATAAAGACCACAAAACGAGACACAATAGCCGGGAGCAAAGTTAAATTGGTTATAAATTACAGCACTTCTTCCTTATGACGTATCCTGCCAAGAACACATAAGCAATACCTTGAATTGAAAACAAACCTGGAATTTTCTCCCCCCTCTCCCTTCTAGTTTTAGTTTTCAGTAAACCTTTCAGGTAATTCGACACAGGGTTCAATGCTCTAGACATAAATATTTTTCAATAACACTTCAGGATATACACATGCAACTGTAGCTTCCTAGTGTACTTAACACATAAATATGACACAATAGAATGACGTTATGGCTAAACAATTTAGAAATCCATTTTCTTCAGGTATGGAAGAAAATGATAAGATACCATTACCTGTTGGAGCTGTCAATCAATTTGTAATTATTTTCCCTGTAAATTACATTATGAGAGCCTTATTTACTTGAGATAATGGTGTAAATACTATGCAGTAAACGTTGAAATGGCTCACAAATGTATTTTGATGCCTGTGTAGATATATTATCGGGGTTATCGGTGGAAGAAATCATTAAATAAAAAAGCATTAAGATACACTCAAAAGTTGAGGATATCTCACAACTGTAATGTAAAGAAAAAGATAAAATTGCTGCTAAAATGATACTAATTTTGTATCAGTGTCTATACAAAATTCAAGGACAGAAGACTGCATTTAAGGAAAAGTATGGCAATCGGTAGAAAAAGAAATTACTACCTCCAAGATTTTCACATTTTTACACCCGGGGAACCTTCATAAATACAAAAAATTTGGCTTTTTTTCTGTGTGTGTGGAGGCGCGATTTTTTGTTCACCCACTTCGAAGCTTAATAACTCGCGTACCTTTTATCGAAAATTTATGAAATTTTGCGGGGAGGTTTGTGTATTAGGGGCATCGATGCTACTCAATTTCGATAGGTTAAAGGTCGAGGAAGTAGGAAAATAGAGGGGTGGTCATTTGTCATATCTCGAGTGGGGTCTGATTTAATGAAGATTTTACTCGTTACGAATTTAATATAAAGTGAAAATAATAATATCTACTCCAAAATTAAGCTTTTTTTTTCCATTTTATAATAACAATACAAAAACTTTTCAAAAATAAAATGTCGTAACAGATGGAAGCAATACACAATTTAAAAATTTTGCCGGGAAAGTTACGCAACTCGTTGCAAGATTTTTTTTAGAGTTTCACGTTATAAACTTCACTTATAATAGATTTAATTACCTGATACTCCTCCACAGATTAATATGGCAAAGGTAAGTCCAAGTCCCCAACTTAATGGGATAACAATGGCTCCTACATTTCCTAAACCATTTAGCACTATAGCTGCAATCCCTGCATTTCCGATAATCTATAAAAAGAAAAAATATATATATAAATATAGATAAATGATTTTTCAAGAAGATTACTTGATCTACTTACTTAATAGCATCAAGATCATACTCTGTAATTGCATTGTCATCACACAATATTATCCAGAAGTTACTTAATATATACAGTAACTTATATATATATATATAAAAGAAATTTCTCAGAAATAATGTAAATGACATTCGAATTTTCCTCAAAACACGAACTAGTTTATAGAAAAATGAAGCAATAAATCGCTAAAATAGCATTAACTAGAACACCAAATATGAAAATGACATGATCGCATTCAAAATTAAACAATTACAAATACGTGAGGGCAATTACAATGTCAAGGGTCTTATATGCTTGCGATTTACTTAAAAATTCAATCATCTGCAAATTAGTAAAAACCCTAGATTGAAAATTATGGGTTACAATAGTAGAACGGATATTCTATTACTACTATAATAATAAAATTCAAGGAATGAATATAATTTTACTATTTAGTGGACTTATGGCATGGTTGAACATGAATAGTAGCATGGCATATAATTATAATAGTGCATTGTATGTTTTGAAGAGAGACATCCAAGGTTTTGTCGTTATCTACCCTTGACATTGTTCCTGTTATCAGTCATCTGCCGTTAACCAATATCAGTTCCATTTTCCTGTGTTTTTACTCTCTTCACGGTTAATGTAACCATTTTTCCTGTCCCATTTCTACTTATGTTACAAATCAGATAAGTGGAACAGAAAAATTCAAAAATCCAAGCCATAAATTAGGATCTTTGAAACGTTAAATTTAAATATATTTAATCCTTTAAACACAGTAAAAATCTTCCTAAAAAACCCCCTAAAAATACAGGGTTAATTAAGCACCAAACAGTATAATTACCTAATTAGAATAATTTAAAATTTAAAAATTCGAATCGAATTTCAAACTGACCAATAGATTGGAATTTAAAAAAAAAATACTGGCACTCTATTGGCCAATTTCAAATTACGAATAAATTATGTTAATTAGGTAATTTGATATTATAAATTTATGATTAATTAATTATTTTGTTACAAACATCGAAAAATAAGCTCGGAAATGTTTTTTTAAAACGTAAATATTCAATTAATCGCTTGATATTGTTATTTTTAATAAGATAAATATATTAAATTAATTAACATATTTGAAATAATTCCACGCCCCTTTATTCTGATTAGTTATAATCGATTTAAAATTAACCAATAGGTAGATATAAATAGAATTTAAAAATTTAAATGTGGAAATTGATTATTTAACGTTACATTTCTTCATTTTTGTAACATCCTCTCGTAAAAATTACCCAACTTTCAATTTTTATCAAATCTATGACCCATTTTTTTCTCTTATTTTTAAATAAATAATTGCGTGAATTAAATTATTAGGACGACATTAATAAAAATTCAAATAAAACAAGATCAATAAGCCCTTAACCTATATTTATTAATGTTATATGAATCATTTTGAATCTATTAATTTTTCCTTAAATTAAATTAAATTTTAATAAATCAAACGTTGACACTAATTAGAAAATAAATAGAGAGGTTGCGGCTGAAGTTTTTATCTCTCAAACGTAAACGTCGAACGTCGAACGTCGCTTACAAGATAACGGCGCTCCACGTTCGACGTTCACGTTTGAGAGATGAAAACTTCGGCCGCAACCTAGCTAATAAATAAAACAAAAATATTCTTAATTAATTATATTTATTATTATTATTATTTTGTATTTATAACTATAATTGTAATTGAGTTTTTTGCACGATTTTACACTTATACGAATGATTTTTTAATACATAAAACTGCAATTCCATTCTCGAGGGCGCCATTTTTTTTTTGCATTCTGTATTCGTAATTCCTCTTATTTTCCTGATTTTTTCGGATTTTTACATTCTTCACTCCCTATAATTTTCTACATTCGATGAAATTCTTTATTGTAATTATCATCTGCGAATATTAAGCACCTGTTTCCGCCTATAAATGCGTTTTCGTATTACTCTCGCAGCTGTGTTTGCTCGTATTCTACCTCCATTTGCCTATATATATAATTTGCCTTTCACGTACGCTATTTTCCATTACGACAATAGCAAATACTAAATTCCTCCCCCCATTTAATTTGTGTTCTATTCACACAATTCGTGATTTGAGTGGTAAACTTACAGTAGAATCGATTCAAAATGATGCAATGTTACGTAATTAGATCGCAATGAGCCCGTAGCAAACCTTAACAAGCTACTTCACCCTCCTGATATATGAATGGATAGAAGTGAATGAAAATCTGGAAAGTCGTGACTAGTTAGCAGATCCTCCCTAACGACGACCCTTGCAACAAAAGCTTGATTGTTCCAGTGTCTGCCATGTTTCTGAAAAGTGCACATTATCGCTCGTGACTGCTCATCATCATCATTTTTTTTACTTGTGGTTATAAAGATATCGAGTTATGTAAATAACGATTAATTTCGTAATTAGGATGATATCTTTTCCGAAAAGTGTCCCTCTTCTTATATACCTCCGCCCAATATACTTGTATAATGTAGAGTTATGTAATTGTTTCAGAGGAGGAGGAGGAGGAGTCTAGTTGTCGCGTGTTTTCCTCTTATATTTTGTAAAATTTTAAAGTTTTACGAAGAAAACTAATGTTGAAAGTAAGTTTAATATGTTCTTTTTTTGTTTTAGAAAGCATAAAATATAATTTTAATCTCTAAATAACTTAATCTGTCTAAGTTACAAAGTGCTGTTTACAAATACTAGGTGCCACACTGCTTACAAATAACTCCTACTCCTCAATTCGTGGCTCTAGATTGTAAATTTAAGGAGCCATTTAGCTAATAAATGACATTATACTACATTTCAAAATGGCTTCCTTTAATAGCTCTCAACCTCATAGAAATCAATAAGGAACCATTGGTAAGAAAATGCTCCTAATTGGTTTCTATGAATGCCATAAAAACGCCTTTGTAAATAAAGGAATTTTTGAGGTTTTTTTACGTTAAAATTCTTAAAGAAAGCTTATAACAAACGAATCTTGTTATCAGTTTATGCAAATTTCACCGCGCGATTGAAATTTGTATCTTATGGGCGATCAGGAGGACCTCTTTGCAACTTCAGTATTATCACGTTTAAACTTAAAAAAACAAAACGTTTTATGTGGGCCAACACTTCAGCAGCATAAAACATGGAAATATACTTGGTTCCGTTAAAAAAATACTCAAATATAAAGAAACAGAACATGTTATGTTCCCGTGTTTGTTTATTTGTGTATAAGGATATTATAAAATCCTTTAAGGAAGATATACTTATCACATTGTATATGGAAGTTTTCACACACTATTTCCCATACAAGAACAATTAAAAAAAGAGAGGCTTTCATAATTTCGTGTCAACCTGTTTATTGTCAGATGCCAGAGAAGCAAACCTGTTGAGGCAATTTGTCACTCTGACAATACCGTAAATTAAATGTGAGGCCAACTGTATATTAATTATAATTAACAACTGAGGTATACCACCTAATTTGCCAATTCTACGCATATTTAACGCTAAAAAAACAGTAAAAATTCTTACAAATCATGCATTTAAACACATTCCAATATACATTTTTTTTAAAATAATAATTTTGGCTGTATAATTATATATTTAAGTATTAATCAGGGCATTATGACCCCCTTATTTGCTGATGAGGCACTTTTTTTTTTTTCTTTTTGTAAAGCGAAAAAGGGATCAGGTCAACAGATCATTTTGATTTTTCTACTTAAACTATAAAGAAACGTGGGGTGTGGAGTAAGGGAAAGTAGTTTTTAAGGCATGGTTTCACTTTCCTCTATCATTTTTCCTTATTTTCTGTATGCCAAGGGGTGCTTCAATCCTCTTTTTCTACACAAATATAAGAAAATAAGGGAAAGGAGTGATAGGTATGTCGCGACTCGTAAAACAAAAGAGAAAGGTGAATGGGGAGGGTGGAGCAATACACAATCGACTCTATATCTGACAGGCGATTAAATGGTCAGGACAGGTCCCGAGGCACAGATTCGTTGACCGAATTTTCTGAACTTTGAACTTATTCCCACTTAGCACAGCTTTATCTATTCTATAATTAATTATAAGAAAGTTTGTGTCACACTCTACATCACAGAAGAAGAAGAAGAAGAAAAAAAAATATGAAGGATACT